TAGGTAGTTTAAAATTCAGAGCATATCCTATCTTCTATGTATAAAAGCAAATTAATTTAAATTGCCATTTTAAAAACACTATTCAATCCTTTAATTTCAAATAGTAATTTCTTTTCAAAGTAATTAACATAATAGATACAAAATCTCTATTTCTTTATCAACATGGATATTTAAAAGATTGAAAATTAACCAGAATTTAAATAATTTTTTTTAATAGAAATAGAAAATGTAGACTAGATATACGTAAGCTGATCATCTAAATCATTAAATAATTGGATATTGTATAGATTATTCATGCCTACATAAAACACCTTATTGTAAATCTTGCTTGGATCACCATTTTCAACATCTTGAAAAATTAACGTCTTTTGAAATTTTAAATGAATGGATTAAACAAAAAATCCTTTGAATTCAAAATGTTTAAAACAATGTTTTGGATGTTAATGCAAATAATTAAAATTAATCAAGTTAAAAATACTAAAATACACTCTTAAATTTATTTAAACAACAATTAACATTATCGACAATAAATAAATTTTATTTATCAAACATACTACTTTTAATACATTCGTCAAAAAATTTCTTAGTTCCTGTCTTTAAAATTCTCATTCACTAATCTTCTCATGCTCTTACACTACTTCTATTTTTATATCATTTAAATTAATTAACTTGATTGCTGGTAAAATAATAAAATTAAAAAGTTCTACAAAACGAAATTTGCTATGGCCATTTGTACCACATCTGTCTATCCAAATTTTAAATTAAAACTTAAAGAAGAAAGAACCAACAATCATTTCAGCGCTTAAAAATACTTTGCATAAAATAATTTTAAAAATTAAAAGTAGCTTATTAAAAAGACTTTCATTGTATAATAAAATATTTTGCTAAAACATAAACAACTGCGAGGCTTAAATCCAATAAAAACGTAGAAATAATAGAAAAAGTACTATTAACTAATTTGATAAAAAACCATCAAGGTTTTTTATCAAATTAAATTTATCAAAAGTAAATTTTTGTATTTTAAGATTAAATTTTGTCTCAGTTCTTATTAGAGTAATATCTGATATCTCCTATGAGGAGAATGAAATCACTACAATTTAAAATGAGGCTGGTTTTACTTGG